GCCAGGAACATTAAATATTATGCCAGACTTGCAGCAGTATTTCTAGCTTTCTACAGTAACAAAATAGACAGGCATATATATTAATCTAATTTTATCTTTTTTCATCTGATAAAGACTGAAACAAGAACACAAAATAACTTCTCCTTCTTCTTGGAAGAAATCCCAGCTGAAAATAGCTCTACAGGAGAGAGGCTGGCTTAAACCAAATCCACCGAGAGGCAAGGATTTCTTATATTTCTCTTGCATTTCACTGAAGCCCAGACCAAAGAAAGAAATATTAAAGGTTATGTTTTATTCTGCTACAGTGGCATTTCTTAACTTAGGAGAACATGAGTAAAGGTGGCCTGTTGAGATTTGACATGACAACCAATGTCATCTTGTTGAGGTACAGCTTATAGAACAGATGTCCATTTATAGCACAGTACAAAATCTTTAATGCCTTTTAAAAGCAGAGCTTTTTAAAGTGCTTTTTTCAGAGACAAAAACCTACCATACTTTATGCCTGCAACTACTGCTACACAATGCCTTCTTTCCCACCCCTGGTGTGATTATTCTCTGGGAAGTCACAAATGAATAATAATATGTAATTTTCTTTCAAGTTAATAGAACAACAAAGAAATCCCAGACCTCTGGCTTTATTATTAATGATTGTGGATTTCACAAAAGGTAATAATTAGTTCCAAGAAGGACAATTTTTTTTTCCTCAAGACTGCCAAGTCACTTCTTCACAATCTCAGTGCTTTCATGGTTTTTAAAGAAATAATATATAATTTAATTAAATAAATATTTAATTGACCTAAGTAAAAAAGCTTGACTTACACTCAGGAACACAATAGTCTTAAATGCTTAAATACTTCCAAAGTTTTCATTTCTTCCATTCAGTCTATTTTACAATAGCACAAATATATCTTTTTTTATTCAGGTTTATCTGAGTAGTTCTAAACTTAGAGACATTCCAAGTACTAAACAGTTATGAAGTTTGGTAAATTTCTTTATTTCTTCTATTTTTGATAGAGTAATTAAAAAAGTAAAGTCTCATATGTTAACCTCTTTAATCCTATTTAAGAATTTGCTTATGCTGCTTTGGCTTTAATATGAAAAAAATGTGCATAAATCCTAGCATGGGCTTACATATATTTCTGAATCATGGCCGAGATGGTAGAATAACCACAGGTAAAATCTACGAATCCATGTACTTGATTTTCATATTGCAAGGACAATATATCCTTTACTCCATACAGTTGGAGTCTACCACATTCTTCCTGGTTAATTGTTCGTCATGGGATTAAATAGAAGAATGTGTGAGTTAATAATGCCAAACACATACATTATCAGAAAGACTTCAAATTCCAATTGACTAAATGGTATGTAGCTGGGAGTTTTATGCCTTAGAAAATATTCTCCATTGTAATATTTCAACTTCCTAGCTAGAAGTGACTGTGGTTTCAGGTAATTAGGAAAGCTGAAGATGTGCTTTTTGAAGTGGAAAGGTATGGACAGTACTTATTCTGTTAAGTACTAATAGACCAATCTGCCATCAAATTGAGGAACAACTAGGATAAAAAATTTAAAAGTACCTGTTTTAAACCTTTTTAAAATGGAACATTCCCATTGCATTAGTCATATAAATATCTCAGTATGAAACTTCAGGTTATCACTAGTTGTTTGCTGCTGCAGCATCCATATACTTTCTAAAAATACTTTTTTGTTAAAGATTACACATCATTTTTCAGAATATTATTGGTATCACTGCTTTCCAGAGAGAGTTCAAATTACATCATAGATTTGCATTAGCTTATAACATTCCTAAAATCCATTGAATGACACACATGCTGTCTAGAAATTGATCCTCTTACTGATATTAATTCCTAGAACACAATACTTATTAAAATACATGTACTTGGTCGTGTCATGATCTTGTGTTATGCTGTAAATCCTACATCACCAGACCGCAGAAAGCTCTGAAAACCTGCACAACTAATAAAAGAGACCTTGAAACTGTCTTTAATCTCATTTTAAAAATGGAGAAATTAGAAAATGAAAAGTTTTTAAGTAGCTATAGCCCATCTTTGCAGTCAAGAAAAATGTCCCCGTTCACAGAATCACAGAATGATTTGAGTCAGAAATGATGTTAAAGATCATCTAGTTTGAAGCTGTCCCGTCACAGCCAGGGACACCTTCCACTAGACCAGGTTCAATGCCCCATCCTACCTGGCTTTGAATGCTTCCAGGGATGGGGCATCCACAACTTCTCTTAAATGGAACAAAAATAACACAAAAAATGGGAGGTGGCAGGCACAGCCAGGCAACAAAACTGACACTTGAGCCATCTCTGTACTCTTCACAACTCCTCACTTTGACTCTACACTCAGATTTCTTTTTCTTAGGGTTTTCATTACAGGTAAAATATTAAGAACTTTTATTCCATACTTAGGAAGATGCTTTCTCACTTTCAGGTGATGTAAGCATCAGGAGCAGCAGCAATTGCTAAACAAACTTTTTTTCACGAACAACAGAGTAAACAGTCTCATGAAATCTGCATGAGCTGTCAGTGCATGACTTTATGGTTACCTTGGGGCTGCAGCAATTAAAATATGGTATTTACTTAAAAAGGAAAATGTCAGGCTCTTTCAATTCTCAGAACTATGAGCTGATTTTGTGTTTTAACTACTCCTTTTTGCTATGGGACCATCTGCAAGCTGAATACTATTAAATTGAATATAATAATAAAATTATATTACTCAATTTGTTGGGTAGGCTTTCTAAAGACTCCAACAAGTTGATGAGGATGTCTTTAGAGAATCTGGGTGTACAAGTCAGAATTATATGATCAACATGCTTGGAAAGGTATCTTATTCAAAGCTGAGATCTTTTTATAAACTTGGCCTTTTCTCTGTATTAATTTGTTATAAAATCCTCAGCTGTTGAAAAATCTGGACTTGTAGTGCAGAAGGGAATGTTCTGTGCTTGTGTCTTCTTTCTATTGTACCTCTTTCTCTTTCCAAGAATGAAACCTCTGAATGAAGACTGGAAGATGTCTAGTTCTTGATCAAGTAGAAGTAGAATAGGAGACCTTTGTTAATATTTAGCTAATTAATATTTGGCTCATCTTGCTCCAAAGTAAGGCACTTTAAAGGCACATGAAAACAATGGAAACAGTGAATGTCCTCCTCCTTTCTCCAACTCTACTCTAGTGCCATGACACTTCAGGAAATGAACTTGGGCTTCAACCTCTTTTAGACCAGTATTTAAAGACTTTAAACTAAAAGAATCAAACCCAAGTCTGTACACAATACTTTCTCAAGTTTTCTAGCTTGGTGAGATTGTTATAAATTTAAAGATATTATCTACTTTGCAAAAGATTTTACTAAGCTCATGAAAAAAGAAAGCAGCAAAATAAAATAGCAACTTAATCTAGCCATGATTCTGGTAGTTTAGAATTCATCTGGAACATCGAACCTAGAAGCTTTAGAATCTGATCTAAAAAAGGGAAACATGGATCTGGTATATCCCTGTTAGAGCTGATTCTTCTGAGATGAATGCTTCTTGAGATCTGGTCAGAAATTCTCTTTTTTAGAAGGTATTCCTTTACAAAATCTTCACTAAATGAAAATAATGCAGCAAGAACTTCAGCTGCATTTAAAAGGATTGAATTTAAAAAATTCCAAGCTGCTTTAAGTTAATGCACACACACATGTGCAGTGCACACAAACAAAAAAATAATGAACAATCTGCTGAGACAGGTTGCTTACTCTGATGCATTTTCACTGTCCATTTCAGACATAATGATATATATTTGCAGTGTAATTTCTCATGGCAGTCTTTACTTTTATCTGTGACCTACTGTGCCATCATTGGTTTTAGTAAGTCTTTCTGTTTATTTCACATTCTCAGGTAAGTAGCTGCACAGGCTAAGAACTTAGAGACATGCATCATTACACTAAAACGGGTATTCAACACAGTAAAACACTATGGATTATAAAAATTTTCCAGTGTTAGATATATCTATAGATAAAAAGAAAATATATAAGCAGAGATACAGAAGGATATATAGACCTAGGATTTGTTCAATTAAATTTAATTTTTGAGCCAGAACACTTGGATAAAAATCTGAAAAAACCTACATGAAAAATAAGGACTGATAGTCAGTAATTCAGGTTTAAAAGACATTGTGTAATTCCAGATCATGACATTAACAAAAATTGAATTTATCGATTAATTAATAATTAATAAAATCTTGTTTTTAATATATTAGTGCAAATTAAATGCACAAAAGATATACTGTGACATCTGCAGACCGAGATATAGTTGTCTGAAAGACAGTCTTTGACTATCTGTGTACGCCAGACTTTTTGTGTACAGAGCTTTATGACTCCTCTATGATTTATCTCTGCATGTTTACACACATGCAAGTAAAATCACAGCGAGATTCTTAGTGATTGGATGATATCTATAAAGCTGTAAAATGAGTCAGATAAAGCAGGGACCTGAATTTAGCTTTCTCTCACCTGAGTGTTGGACCTTATTGGGATACCTGCTATGCTAAATCTTCCTCGGAAAATGTGTTATTAAAATGACATGTTTCCATTAAAAAGCTTTTGCCTAATAAAACATAATGTCTGGCTTTACTAATTGCTACTAACAAAGCAATTTAAAGTTAATCAGAAAAAAAACCAAACAAAATGGAATAAAGATGTTCAAAATATCTTGTTCTACTCATTCTAATTAGAGGAACAACAAAATGTTTTAAACAAAAATAAAATTTTGTTTTTAAAAATAAATATCTCTTACAACTTATTTTTTCTTCTTTAATTACTTAATGAAAGAAATAACTATTGTTCATCTGTTACCTACATCCTATCTACATCATCTCTCCTATTTAATAACATGTAAGGTCCCTTCCATACTATTATTTTGCTTTCCTGTGAGGCAACAAAATGTCTCTTTCTTTTACATGATATAGAGATGACTACTTTGTACCCTGGAGACAACTAGAAAAGGGATGATTTCAGTCTGCTGTGTGGGGAGGCATCTGAAAAAGTTGTCCTGTGTGATGGGCCCAGAGGCTGAAATTACTACCTAGCTTTGATATTCTTTTTCTGAAAAAGAGAAAACAGCTGCCAATTTTGATTATTTCTGCAAATAAGAGAGTCAGGAATTCTATTCAAAAGAAAAAACATGGGAGGAGCCAAAAGTCAAAGCCAGTGCAAAACTACATTTCTCATGAAGATGGCTTCAGGTCTTTGAAACTCTTGTGGGATTATTGTAGAACTAGGAGAATACAGCTTATGTGGAAAGCGGATTCGTATCTAATATGGGGAAGAAGAAAGTATATCAAACTTGAATAGCAGGAAAGGATCTCATCACAATATTTTTTCATTTTGCAAAGTATTTCTGTGTAAGTAACGTGGGATAATTCAGCCCTCAGTGTATGCTGTAGTATAAGTGCCTTTAACACAAAAGTGTATTTTCAAACGGAAAGATTTTGAAGCAATTTATGTTACGATTTTTCTCTTTTTTTTCTTTCCTTTTTATTTTCTTTTTGCAATATCAGAAGTAAATGCTCTCTACTTCTCATATTTTTTTCATTAATTAACTAGCTGATGGGCTATGGCCACTTCCACAGCTTGTTGAGCAGCCTAATATTAATATCATGTAGCTTTGTCACTTTACTCAAATGCTATATAGCTTCTACTGTATAAATAAACAGCAAATTATTAATGAGAAAAAGCCTCTATGTCTTTTTACCAGTGGGTTTTTTAGGGGAAGGAAGGGATTGGATTAGAAATGTTTTATGTGTGTTAAAGACAGAAGAGTTTAAAAAAAGAAAAAAAAACACCAGATGGACTGATGAGTCCAGTATGTGAAAGCACTCTTGCAATCAAGCAAATGGAATCAAACAGTTGAATGAGAAACATTTTAATTTACATGACCAGAAAAATACTGATGAAAATACAAAGAAAGATTTTTTATTACGGGGCAGATTTCTGGAGAAAATGTAAACAAACAAGATGATGGGGCCTGGACCTCATAACATGTGGGCAGGGACCAAGGGAGCTCCCTTTATTTAGATGGAAGAAGATCCCCAAAGAAGGGGATCTAATTTCAGTCTTCAAGTATTTATTGGAAGGTTACAGAAAAAGATGGAGCCAGATTCTTTGCAGGTACTCAGTAGAGGGATTAGATGCTTTGGGTACAATTTTTGGTGAGGTAAATTCTGATTGCATAGAATGAAAAAAAATTATAATGAGAGCTGCCTGGACAGGCTACAGAACCTTTGTCTTTGGCAATAATCAAAACTCAAGTGGAAATGGTCCTGAGCAAGATACAACTTTGAAGCCAGCGTTCCTTTGAACAGAAGATCACCTAGGGTATAGATGACCTCCAGAGGTCTCTTCTATCCTAAATTATCCTATGATTCTATAAAATAAGAAATTTATAGTTCTGTGGATTTGTTTTTCCTTTTGTTTGTTTTGTTTATTTGTGTGTTTCTTGTCTTAAACAAAGCTATGTTTTGTTTCTCACCCAGTCTGAGAAAACAGATTTGAAGATTGAGAAAGAATAAAAAAATAAAGTGGATATCAATTTTCCCTAGGATGACTAATTTGGTAGGGATGTATTTGTATGAGGTTTTTACTTGCATTTAAGCTCTGTGTGGGTTTGAGCTTCCTGAACTTGCGGGAAAAGGGTACCTGATGAGATGCTTGTGTCTGAGTAGCTGTGACTGAGCCCACGGAGACCATCTATATTTCCTGACTGAAGTTTAATGAAACAATACTTTGCCACTAATAGGACCATTAAGTTTGAATGGCTCTTTTCAGGATATGGAGTTGCTGGAGCTGTAGAATGAAAATTCCCCCGTGGAAAAGTGAAAATGGGAAGAGACTCCATTATCTATTTGGAAAGCTCAAAAGACTATGATACAATAGTCAATGGAGGTACCTAGAAGGATTATCTGGTCTAAAGTACAAAGCACAAAGAGCTGAGACCAGTGTTCATATGGGCGATGAGAACACTGAGACTGTAATCAACAGTGTTTTCCCTAGTCTGTAACTTCTTTCAGAAATAAAGTGTAATTTTGTGTTTCTTTATTTCACAGTCAATTTCTTCAGAATGGTCTTGTCTGAAGGGAGCATGTTAAGGCACTGGAACTTTGGAAATGGTACAGATCTTAACAGTCCACTGCTCTAAAGGGTGTAGATACATTATACATGCACGTGGAGGCCAACAGACATTTACACATGTATGTAATATATAGATATATGCATATGAAGTATATATATAGACATCTATATAGTGTACTATGCTGAAAAGACTGAGGTGTAAGAACAATCCTCAGTACACTACTAGCCAAAGATGTCATAGAAGCACACTGTCCCATACTTTGGCAGACTAATTGCAGGATAAAATTTGTTCAGAAAGCATGGCTAGACTGAGACATAGTTCCTGGAAAAATATCGGAGTTCTCGGCTGCCATAATTTGTTATTATTAGGAAAGAGAATGTCCATAATGAATAGCAAGGCAGCGAAACTACTTTCTCAGTAATAAACCAATACACTAATCAGCTAAAATTTTGTCATACTATTTTTGCATTTGTGACTAGACAGATCACACTGATGAAGTTTTCTTCAATTCACCCACAATTTTGCATATTTCTTTTCTTATTTCTGAAGTTCGGCCAGTGTAATTCTTCACATACTCCTATAATTGATTCTCAAATCAGAAGTTTACAGATCACCACCAGAGCATGTACATACGATGCTCTTACAGAGCATGTAAGATGATGTATGAGAGGACTTAGAGAGCCAGAATTTTCTGTTTTGTCTATGGAGAAGAAAAGGGAAATCCTTAATCATCCTGAAGTTGACATGAACAGATGTCAAGATTACAATAAAAAAGGAGGTTTCTGTGAAGCAAGTACATAGGTGAATATTAGAATTAGTGAAGACTTAATCTCTGTGGATCAAGAAAATATTGAAATGCACAATTTCAGTCACATGAAGAGAATTCAGAAACTACTTGAAGGGACAGTTCCACTGTTATAACCTAGAAGGTTATAACCTAGAAGGTTATAACAGGGGCAATGGTCATTGCTCACCTGGAGTCCCACCCAGGTCTGCATTTCTTCTCTGTTAAACAAGGAAGATTGATGTGCAAAAGCATGCCCAGATCACAGCACAATCTGAAATTCTTTTACAGCTCAGCACAGGGATTAAGTTGGAGCATAGACCTGTATAAACCTGGGATTTTTCTGGCCCCAGACATCATATTGCAGTTACGAAGTTACTTAACAACTTTCTTCATGATAGCAAGTGTAACATTCTAATGATATGTGAAATGTTCCTTACTCTAACACTCTTCAGCAAAAGAACGGTCTGAAAACGATCACCGCTACTTGGAATAGTCTAACAGTGGTAAGCAGGAGGGTGAGAAACTCTTTCTTCATAGAGCAATATACACCAGTCAGTCTGGGCCTGAACCACCTTGCTGTCTTTTTCAGCTGTACTCTGATGTGTGTATCATAAACCTCTTGGTCATCCACCAACACAAAGTGAAACAGCGCTCCTTACCTACAGTAATTATGATGATGATGATGTATCAGCTAATCTGTTGGTAGGGACTCTACACTGATGACTCTGAAGTGACTGAATGGTAAAGTATTAATATTGCCTTTAAAATAGTTTTTCAATATCTTTTAATCACGCTATCTTTGTTGTGATCTCTTTTCCTTACTCTCGGCATTTGATGTGTTTTTCCCTATTACCATTATGTTGGTTTGTCTTTACTGAGAATTACATTTACTGAGTGTTGCATAGATTTTCTTTTGGCTCTGGTGGTATCAGTGAAAACATTCTCCTAATGTTCATGAAATGGCACAGGAGTTGTGAACTATAGATGTAGTTGGCTTGATTAAGAAAAGCCAAGCAAAATTGGCAAAAAAAAGGAAGATTATGCTGGATGTATTCAACTCTGAAGTTTCATTCCAGGTTTCTTCATCTGGAGAGTTTATGCGATGACTCTGCAGGAGTGGACCTGATGAGATCAGTGATATAATAAAGTAAGCAGTGAAACTTAACTAAAGAAGCACTATCCCCAAGATGATTTTATGACACCCTGTTAGGCAGTGCAATGTGGTGTAGATCTCATATCACAGTTTTTTAACTCAACATATGATGTCATTAACTCAGGTAGAAAAGCTGCTGTTCTGATTTTAAGGAGTTTTGAATTTGTGATGCCATAGCTATAAAGTAACCTGAGAATAAAGAAGGAAACAAATTATTATTAGGGATCTCTATTACATATCAGAAATAGTAGAGAAAGTAATAAAAAATGCCTTCACTATGGAGTCACGGAGACAGGTTTGGAGTAGCAAAAGAAGAAATAGGTTTGGATTATGACTGCACACATACAGAAGAGTGTGTCTGAGCTGCCTGAGCTGCCTTTTGACTGTCAGCCTCTCTGAAGTACTGGTACCAAAGTAGGCTTCAAGTCCACCTTTAGTTCTGATAGGAAATCTGAAGAAGAAAACTGGTGTGCAGCCACATGAGGAGTCCAGTGGAGGAGCAGAGAGTACAGGTTGAGAAATCAACATTTCCTCACAAAGTTCTTTTAGGCTGAAGCTGAAATTAAGAAGAAGAAAGGGAGCTCTGGTTCACTTTTTGAGAAGATCTGACCTTGTGCCCAGAGAAGGATCCAGGGTGAGTTTTGATAGCTGTAGAAAAGCTCCTCCCACTCTTCCTTCCTGTTACTTTTAGGTTCAGTAAAAAACATGACTTTCTGATTTTAGGGGGTAAAAACCATTTAGCAAAAGACTTGTAAAAATTATAGGAATCTCACTTCACCATAACAACAGCACTACTGGGTGTGGCTTGAGGTGTCTACTCTCAGAATCAAGGCATCCAGAAAAACTTAAATAAAATCCATCAATCTCAAATTTTTTTCATGGGTGGCTCCTGCATCATTTATTTTCAGGGTAGATACCATTTCCCCCATATGCCTGGTTGTCAAAT